ACACAAATAAGTAAGTTCTGTAAAATGGACGTGCACGAAAACACAAGTTCGGGAATATGACTGAAGAGGCCGAACAACCAGAACTTTTTGCTAAAGTTTACAGCCGGTGAGCGTGACGAAAAAGAAGAATATATATACGGGGGATCTATGGGAGGAGACTGAAGCACCTATGATTTATCCGCGTGCAAAAAAATTGATCCATCTCGACAGCTCCCTTAAGATTTGACACTCTGAAATTACAAAAGTTCATCTGGATGGCAGGCCAACATGGCAAGTCCCAGAGACCCCAAGTCAACCTTAGAAGAACTTAGAACTGGGGGGAGGGGCTTAATCCCCGTGTGGGTTGAGGGGCCCATTGTGTGAAAAACAAAGAATAGACCCACTGCCTGCCAAAAAGCATGCTGTAAGAGTCGACTGATTGGGAGCTTCATTCAAAGTGGGAGTACATCTGCCTGAGAGTCAAGGAACCAACAGTCTGAATACAAATGAGTCAGACCTGTGAAACAGGTTTGTACGCAACACTCAGTTTCTAGAACATGACCAGAGTCCAGAATTCGACGAACAACCAAAACTTTCCGTCGGAGTTTACAGTCGGTAAATCCCAAGAAGGAGGAAAATTGGATGAGGTGCTCATGCGTCTTCACAGATCAGGATCCCTGGCTGACTGGCGATGATATCCCTTCATGCCATCGTTTTAGCCCATCGAGCATCGTCTCTGTTGGTCTCCCTCTACCCCTTTTCCCACTGATCTTTCCAGTTGTCACGATTTTCTCCAATTTCTCTTTTCTCATTATGTGACCAAATAACAGTGTTTGTCTCTTTCTTATTGTTGTATATAGAGATCTACTTTCATTAGCCTCTTTCAAGAAATCGTTGTTAGTTACTCTGGCCGTCCAAGGTATTCGTAACATTCGTCTCAGAAACCACATCTCTATTGCTACAGGGAACCTATTATGAGAGGGGAGGGGGGGGGGGGAATAGACCCACTGCCTACCCAAAAGCATGTCGCAAGAGTCGACTAACTGGGAGCTTTCTTTGAAGTTGGAGTGCATTTGCCTGAGCAGCAAGGAACCAACAGTCTGCATACAAATAAGTCAGATCTGTAAAACTGATGCACACGCAACAGTCAGGTTCTGGAACAGGACTTCAGTCCACAAGTGGATGAACAACTAGAACTTTCCGCCAGAGTTTACAGCTGGTGAACACGAAAAAGAAGACGAAAATCATCATTATGTGCCTTGAAAGCTGGCGTAAGCGTTCGTGTATCTCTGCAGATCTCGGTCTTTGATGTTCTCCATCAATTCTACTTATAATATTCTCTACGCTATTGTCTTAGGCCATCCACCACCTTGGTCTGCCTCTTCTACCAGTAATCTTTCCAGTCGTCACGATATTTTCTAGTGCTCCTTTTCTCGTCACATGACGAAGATCTTTGTTTGTCTCCATCTCATTGTATATAATGTTCTACTTTCATTAGCCATTTCCATGCAATCACTGTTAGTTATTTTGGCAGTTCAATGTATTCGCAACATTCTTTCCAAGAACTACAACTCAGTTGTCTCCAAACTCGTAATTCTCTTTATATAGTTCATATTTTTTTTCAAAATATATTAATATTGCTATTTGCCATACTGTTCATTATTATTACTATTATTACTTTATTATTATTATTACGCGCTTGAGAACACCACCACTTGAAAATTTTAAAGGGGTTTAGCCACCATTCTTCTCATGTTTTATGTCGGCGTGCCTGCGGATGCTTCAGTACTACTGTTAACGAAGGTTTATGGGATCTGCTCTTGTTGGATTTGCACCCTAATAGTGGTTCTTCAAGTCACTGAGTATCGATATTTTCAGAGAAAAATCCCGGAGAGGACATTAAAAAAAAATATTTAAAAAAAAAAAGATCCTGAAAAAAAATGAGAAACTCCCCGGCGGGGAATCGAACCCCGGTCTCCCGCGTGACAGGCGGGGATACTTACCACTATACTACCGAGGAGTCATAGTCAAAATGGAAATGGAATAAAGAAATGAATGGACTACAATTTGACATATGTTAACTCTTGCAGTTGTTTTTAACATAGCATCTTTTTTTGTTTTTAATAACAATATTGTGTTAGACTAACACTTAGTCTCTGAGGCAAGATTTGATCCTAATGATACGGATACGGGATGCCATTCTGTTGTTGTTTCAAAGCCCCATACCAGAGGCCGAAACATCAGTATTAGTTATCCTTTTGCCTAGTGGCACACGAGGCTTCGGAGAGACTTTCTATGCTTTCCTGTCTTGTGCAATCTTTAGAGCAGTTTTCCATGCCTAAGAGTAACCACATTCAGGTCACTTTTCATCGTTCGTCTCCATGTTATTTTTTGGACGCCCCTTCTTTCTCTTTCCCTCTGGTATCCACAGATGAGCTGTTTTGAATGGGGCCATAATATAACCTAATGGGACCTGACCCCGGGTGTTAATAACTTGGTGAGATGTCCGGGTGGGGATGAAAGTAGATCCCTCAATCGCTACGAATAGTGCAGTAAAATTACACAATTTAATAATAAATATCGTTTATTTACTTATCGTTCAATGTTATAATATTTGAATACCGCAATTCAGTTAAGCACTTTGCATGACATGAACTCCGAATAAAGCCTAGTGAAAAAAGAAAGGGGGAGGGAAGGGGGTTCTCGCACCGATTACAGTACTGCTGCTGCAGCTGCAAAAAAAAAAAAAAACAGCTGAAAACAGATGCCATTTCTGCGTTCCTTTAGAAAAAAAAAGTGCTGCTTATATCCCCACCCGCGTATTTGGAACAAATAATAGCATAAGGTATGGTACCAGGAAGGAGGGACAGGGCCCCACTAACACGAAGATGGGCATATGATATAAGTGACTTCTTCAATATGAATGTACGCGAGGCGAGAGAACTGGTGAAAGACCACTTTCCGCTAGGCAGACCCGCGATGATAGCAACGTTCTGCAAAATACCTGCTACATGATGATGATTTTTTCCACACAGTCGGCGACTGTAAATTAGGCATTGCGAGCGCGCTTCGTAAAGTACTCGAGTCGGGTTCAATCCCAGGTGTAGTCGATTTGGTAGCAGACTTTGGTTTTGCCTGTGGTACCGAGAGGCTACCCTTGAGAAGCATTGGTAAACTAACTTTTTCTGTCTTTAACAGCCCCCCCCCCCTTCCCGCCGCCCCGCCAATAAAGCATAGGCTCTCAACCAAGTCCGGCTAAGACGTTTTATCCTTCGTTACCGCATGTAGTTCTTCCATGTCCTCCCCCATCTTTCTAACTTCAGTCTAGCTCGTGTTTTTTCTTCTTCCTTTATGTCTCTGCCCCTAAGGGTTCCAGTGCAAAGACATTTTAGTAATAACCATCTCAGGTTTTCTTAACGTGTGTCCTATCCAACGGCAGCGTCTTTTCTTCACCTAGTGGTTTACTGGAACTTGTTTAGTTCTCTCCCAAAGCTCTAAATTTAGCCATTCCACCCCCCCCCCCCCAATTGTCATAACCATAGTTTTTTTTTTTGCGGCCGAGTGGTTACAACGTGGGGCTAGACCTCTCCTGATAGTATTTTATGTGTCAGGGGCAAAATTAAAGATCCTAACCTGTACAGTCCATGGTGACAGCACTAACCATGAGGCCCTAAATCCTTAGGCTCACGACCCCCATGGCTAACACCGCCCTAAAAAAAGTATCAGACAGTAGTCTGACAACTCCTGTAGTAGTAGTAGTAGTATTGGTAGTAGTATTGGTAGTAGTTGTAATAGTAGTAGTAATAGTAGTAGTGGTAGTAGTAAAAGTAATAGTAGTAATTTTCAGCCACCCCTCTCCCCCCCCCCCCCCCCCCCCAAAAAAAATTGTGTAATGTTTAACGCTCAAAATTATAAAGTATTTATTGAGATTTTAGAGTATAGTTTTGCTGCTTGGCATATCGTGTCATTATTTATTTCTTATTCTTCTTTGCCTTTACCGGCTGTAACGTCTCTTCTTCTTCTTCTTCATCTCCTCTTTTACCGCTGTGGGTGTCGAGGGAGATATAAGGTTCTGTTTATAGTTCTTCTGGCCGCCTCGAGCATAGGCACATCGTGCTGTTGTAGAGCTTCTCTGATGTTATCCTTCCATGTTGTTCTTGATCTACCTCGTGCTCTACGTCCTTCTTTTCTTTCCATGTATGCTTTGTATGGTATGGTGTCACAAGGCATTCTCTCTAAGTGGGCAAACCAACTATATATATATATATATATATATATATATATATATATATATATATATATATATATATATATAAACCGGCTGTAACTTCCAGCAGAAAATTGTTTTATTTTTATTTTTTAAATCTATCTCTGGACTTTAGTCTTCTCTAGAACCTGAGTGTTGCGTGCACATCCGTTTAACAAATCTGGCTTATCTGAATGCAGACTGTTGTTTCCTTGCCTCTTAGGCACACACAGTTAGTCGACTCTTTCGATATGTTTGTTGGGCAGTCAGTGGGTCTATTCTTGTTTTTCACATCCGGGAGCCTCGAAAACCACACGGAGAAAATTTATTTTAAACAAAATATATTTGTGGTTGTTACTGAGATATAAACTGCACCAAGAATATTTAGACCAACGGTTCCTAACCCGCCGGTCGCGACCCCATTTTTTGGGGGTTCGAACGGCCCTTTCACAGGGGTCGCCTTAGACCATTGAAAAACTTATTTTCCATATAGACCATATTTATGGCCAGGCTATATTGCGGACCCTGGCAAGAGCCAGAGTAGGGCTTTAAATAGCGAAACATTTTGTCTTAAAAAGGACGGAAAGTTGTACATCCACGGCCTTCTATATTTATTAGATATTGTGTACATCCATTGTGGAGACAGCACGTGATTGACTGAACCGAGGCTGACACTCAGCTGACAACGCCTCTCAACCCTCATCTCTGACCTCTGACCTTCGAGCAGGATTTAATAGAGAAAGTTCAGTGCGCAAGCGCATCTTGTATTTACAAAATGGCAGGTGATATGTGGTATGTTTACAATATTCATTACATAACCTCGACAGATATGTACAGATGTAACATAATAATTTGAAAATGCTTGTTGTAAACCTACAAAACCGCTTTAGTTTATGTGGTTAAAACTTAACTTGAATTATCATATTATGACTCCGGATGTAAGTAGAGTATTCAACATGTTTTTGAACTCCCAGGCGAGGGAGGTGTGCATGTGAATCATAGGTACTCTTCTTTTGTAAGTTAAAAAAGTCTAATAATTTAGTAATGAAACAATAACATCATATATTCTTTCCTATACTCTTTAAGATTGAGGTCGTATAAATAAATATATTGGCTCTCCTCCGAACTTCAACCCGATATTATGGCGGCCATAAAATATCCGCACGGGGCTCAGGCATTTGTAAAATGCGGACTTTCTGCCAAGGAACAAATCGCGGCAAAACTAGGATTACTTGACAATTTCAAGAGACGCAACATTGCAGACGATAATAGCGACTGTTGACAGTTTCGAGCGTTTCTGCAGAGGATAGTAGCATGCGCAAAACGCCATTAAACTCACCGCCGAGCATATCCCCCGCGCCGCTATGTGCAGCGCTGATGGGGGCTAAACTAGGTGCCTGGGACTCACGAGCAAATTAATTGGACGAAGTTGCAGGATTTGCGGTAGCTGCTGCTCATGAGTCCTAGCCATCTATTTTTGCCCCGATCGGCGGCACGGGGAATACAGTCGGCGGTGAGGCATAGTCACAGAAACAGGTCCGCAAGTAACATATCGCTGAGACCCTGTTAGAGCATTTGTTTCATTATACGGAGCCGGCATATTTTTAATAGAACTGAGCCCCGTAAGGATATTTTATGGCCGCCATAATATAGAGTTGAAGTTCGGAGGAGAGCCAATATATTTATTACTCATGCTGTGACCAAATGAAAGAGCATATCTTTTACACATTTAATTTATCTTCCTTGCCATTTACCTCTTTGTTTTTAGTAAGTTTTTTCTTTACTGACGTCATTTATAAGTGGAGATAAATAGAGACTAAAAGTTTTTTTATGACTGATTCAACCTTCCCCCCCCCCCCCCCCCAATGTGTCTCTTGACAGTGAAGACTGGCTGCAGTGTACCAATTGCTGTCCTTAGGAAAAATCAAGCGGTGATGCTCCAATCTCTTCCACAGTGTGCCTCTCATAACACTGTCTAAAAACCGCAAGAGCGGTTTTGCTGGATTGCGGCCATGTTAGAGAAGGCCATGGCTGTGTCGACCTAGGAACTAAGATCAGTTTTGGAGCTATTAAAAAAAAAAGGCTCTCCTCCGAACTTCTACCTGGTATTATGGTGGCCAAGCAAATAGCCTAACAGGGCCTCAGTCATGTGTAAAATGCAGACTTTCTGCCAAGGAACAATTCGCAGCAAAACTAGGATCGGCTAAGAATAATGAAACAATTGCTCTAACAGGGTCCCAGCGATATGTTATTTGCGGAACTGTTTCTGCGACTATGCCGCACCGCCGACGGTTTCCCCTGCGCCGCAAAACGCGTCGCGGATGGGGGGCTAAACTAGATGGTTGGGACTCATGAGCTGCAGCTACTGCATCTCCTGCAACTTCCTCTAATTGATTTGCTTGTGAGTCCCAGGCATCTAGTTTAAATCCCCATCCGCGCGTAAGGGGAGGGGGGGGAATACTGTTGGCGGTGAGTTTAAAAGCGTTTTGCGCATGCCGAAAAGTGTGAGGACAACAACGACGCTAATCTGCGTCGGAGCGTGTGGTCTCCCCGCCATGTTAAAATTGTCAAGTAATCCTGGTTTTGCCACGATTTGTTCTTTGGCAGAAAGTCAGCATTTTACACACAACTGAGGCCCTGTTAGGCTATTTGCTTGGCTGCCATAATAATATCGGGTAGAAGTTCAGAGGAGAGCCAAAAAAATGCTGCTATGCAAATTCAAACCCATGACCTTCATAGTGGTGGTGTTTAATGAATCCATAGGATGGTCCTGAGAATTTCATTTTCTGCTGGCAGTGTGTCTTCGGTGCATATCTGTTTGGCATGTCTACTGGATGGGTATCCCGCTGGATTTATTCTTTCAGTACCATGCAGCCACCATGCATTTATTGGTTTAAACTGACGTGATATTCATTTCTGAACCCCCTTGACATATGCACTTATTAGACTCAGTAGCTCAGCCTTATTTCTTATTCTGACAGCGCTATCGGTTTCATTCTTCTTGTTCTGCCTTCTTTCTCCCAGTGGAGCCTAGCCCTCAACCAATTCCTTGGTGAAGTGGTCAAGCTGGTGCCTCATGCTCTGAAAGTTGTAGATTTATATCAAGGCAGTGCTGTTTAGTTCACAAGTGGCATTTTCAGGGAGATCCATAGGATCCTCATTGGAGCTACGGAGTTCGTGCTCTTCGTGGCGTTCTCGACAGACAGCTGGCCATTTTACGGGGAGATACTGAGCCATATAGGATAAAACCTGATGCAGTGAAGTTAATACTTTTGCTTTTTTTTTCTCGAGGTTAAAACCCTATATGACTACACATCTTGGAGTGGGATACCATTATGTGAAACCAGATTACTATTTGCCTGATTTATACTCATTATCATTATCTTTCCCTTATAGATTGTTAGACCTAGTTGTTGTGATCTCGCATCAAGTATAGTTAATTTATCTTACAACTGATTCCATGAGTTGGATAGAAGAGGAATATCGGCAGAGTCCAGGTCATCAAGCTGTTTTGTGTCCTTGAATTCCATTCCTAGTGTGAGTAGTTGCTGTCTTCATAATCCAGCCAGAGCCATCTTAACACATGGGCTCGCTGAGCACTTGCCCTGGGCCCCATGCTAATTGACCCTCTATATATCATTTCTGTCAGTTGTCATAGGCGCACCTAAACACTGGTTTCCCTGGGAGCCTATAAAGCTGTTACGACGGCCCTGAATCCAGCCTGTTTCCAATAGAAATACAAAAAGGTGACATATTTAAAAGGTTATTACACAATTAACATATTCTTACAAAAGAATGAGTCTAAGAAACAGCTGCTTGCTTTTGAAGGAGTTACTCAATATAGCCACTTTGCTACTTCACAGATTTCATCAAAATACATAGACAGTACTAATGTAAGGTTCAGTTTCAATTTGATAAAAACATGTGGTGTATTTTTTCTTCAGGCTTAATGACTATGATGCCTGTTCCCTACTGGGACAGGAGCTGATGGAACAGATAAATGAGAGGAACAAGCATGCACGCACAAGCTCAGCCTACACAAAGGTACAGTGACTTTCAGTATATAGGTGTTCCATATATAAAGGTCCAATTTTTATACCTCTAGGTAACAGTCTGTATTCAAGAGAATGAGATCTGTAAAACTGAAGCACACGCAACACTCAGGTTCTGGAGCAGGACTGCAGTTCAGTAGTGGACGAGCAACCAGAACCTTCCGCCAGAGTTTACAGCTGGTGAACGCGAAGAAGATACCTCTAGGTGAATCTGGCTTATAGTTTTAGCTTTGTTTTTTTTTTAACACCAATTGGCACTTTTTGGGTGATATGTTATTACCACGTCAGTACTTCTATTCCTCCAGACATTTCTTGATACCTGTATTAGACCCTGTTAGTTTAACAGTGCTGCCCCCATTGGGATTCAAATCTATGACCACCAGGCAGCATGCAAGCACACTAGTCACTGTACTATTGATTCATTCGTTGTCCTATTGTTCTATTACATGTCGCATATGGCTCAATATATTTCTCAATTGCGTTCTGTCTGTGCAAACTTGGATATCATGGAAGAAATCCACTCCAACACCTTTAGCTTCTTTCCTTAGAGTTCTTCATAGAGTTTCTCTTGGTCGTTCTTGTTCTTCAGTCCCTCTATTTCCAATTTCAGTAACTGTTTGGTGATTCTATGTTCATCTCTTCTCAGAATGTGTCCAGTATGGTCCCATCTTCTGTGTCTTATAACTGTTGATATTAGTGGTTGCCCACTGTACTAAAGACCGGATTGCCAACCGTCTGCAGCGTAAAGGAAAAGTCCTGATAGTGGCTCTATTTGATCTGTTCTTTTTCTTTCGTTCGCCTGAAATAAGTTGTCTATATCAGTAGTTTGGCTCTCATATAGGCCTATCTTGAATTTTGTACACGTGGTTACATAAACAGTCTGATCTGTCCATAATCAAATAGTCATCTTATGCTAAGGCTGGTAGTTTCCTGATCGATTTAATGATCCTTCTCTTTTGGTGATCTGTAACTTGTACATCCAAATTTGATCTGTAAATTTAACTTTAAAAAATGTTTGTTAGGCTTTTAAAAAGATTTAACTATTATAGCAGTGTTTAGTATTATGTTCTCCCAGAAGATGTCATTGCTTACATGAATGCTATTATCAAACTTTGTCGATATCATTTGTGTCGAATGGCAAGCTGCACGCATAATTGTAGAAGTCCAAGATTACTTCTGTTTATTCCATGATATCTGTATAAATTGAGTCTTATAATTTGTATGCAAGTTTTTCTTTTGCTGATAAGTGTGTAAATTTGTTTATGGTGTGTGAAAGGGGCTGAGGGGCAGTGAGAGAGAGAAAGAGAGAGAGAGAGAGATCTATTAAAACCATTCTATTGTCTTCAGTATGCTAATTGTCCTCAGTCTACTTCCAACAGTTGTCAGCTCAAATTCGCTCCAAGAGCCGGCAGTATATCTCTGACTTGGGTAAACTGAAACAGAATTTGATGAGAGCATCAGCCTCGTATCACATGTATCCTTGAATTTGCATGTCCTGACGAAGCTGCTAACAATGAGTTCATATCTACATTGTCGTAACATTACTAGTTTTATGTCTCTCCAGTTAAATGTCTCCACAGCAATGATATGTCTCTTGTGTTATATATTGTGATTACAGGTCTCTTGTGTTATATATTGTGATTACATGTCTCCGCAGTTATATGAACAGTCTCATATTACCATTATGTGTCTCCACATTTTAGACATATCTGTAGTCTTTTATTACCATTACATGTCTCCACATTTATGGCATATTTACATTCTCATATTACCATTATATCTCTCCACATTTATGTCATATCTACAGTCTCATATTACCATTATATCTCTCCACATTTATGTCATATCTACAGTCTCATATTATCATTATGTGTCTCCACATTTTACGTCATATCTACAGTCTCATGTTTACTGTTATGTGTCACCAGTGTGATATTGTCATGACATGTCTCCACCATTACACATGACCAATGTCATACTAAAATGACGTACCTCTACATTCATGACATGACCATTGTGTTTTATTGTCATTACATATCTCCAGTGCCCTGGTGTCTTTAAGTGGTTTGGTGATTTCTTCTTCTTTGTGTTCACTTGCTGTAAACTGCAGTGGAAAGTTCTGTTTGTTCGTCCACTTCTGGACTTTTGTCTTTGTTCTTAATTTATGTTTTCCATGCACATCTGCTCTACAGATCTGGCTTACTTTTGTACAGATTGCTAGTTCCTCTCCTTTCAGGCAGATCTACTGCAACTTTGAAGGAAAACTCATAATTAATCAGATTTTACAACATGCTTGTTAGTGAGGCAGTTGGTCCATTCTTTGTTTTCTCCAAAATTGGGCCCCAGATCCCACACAGGGGACCTGATAAGTAAAGACTTCCCAGCCTGTTATGATTACATCACTCGCTGAACACCCTTTGACACATAATCATGTGGGGCTAACATCATATGTCAAATACCTCATTGCATGTTCTGAGACCTCATAAGAGTAGACCTCCTTCCCCCCTCCCCCCAAACAAGCATGTCATAGAAGGCAACCAATTAAGAATGTTTCCATTTAAGTTGGAGTGAATCTGCCTGAGAGATGAGGAATCTGCAGTCTGCATACAAATAAACCAGATCTATAAAGTGTAGGTACACACGGAACTCAAGTTCTGAAACAAGACTAAAGTCTAGAAGTGGACAGGCAACCAGAACTTTTTGCCAGTTCACAGCCGGTAAACATTAAGAATAAAATGAAGATGATATGCCCAATGTACTTCAAGGTATGGTAGTGGCATCTTTCCTTTACATATCTTCTTCATCTTCTTCTTGGCATTTGGTTTTGTATGCTCAGATTAGACCGTCACCTGAGCTGCGTCCATGAATTTGCATGTCTCTTGAAGGTCCTCCATGGCTCTTAATAGCTTTCTCTTCGTGCTTTGTCACACATGGAATATTTTCACATTTCGGATTTATCCAAGCCCAAAAACTGTTTTCAGTACTTTTTGGCAAAGTAAAATACTCACAGTTATAAAGTTATAAATGGTGGTCCAAAGGACGTGTTGAGAAGTTCGCTCTCCTACGAAATCTGGCCAAATCAGACGGAGCTGAAACCAAGGAGGAAACATCATAGCTGAAAGGGCAAGAAGAACACAGTTGACAACAGGAAAGGGAATGAGCGGTCTGACTAGAAGGAAAGAAGCATAAAGTCCAGAGACGACGCAAATACCAAAACTTCAGCTACCTGAATCTTGTGTGCATATCTGTTTTACAGATCTGGCTTACTTGTATACAGACTTGGTTCCTCGCCTTTCAGGCTGATGCCCTCCAGCTTTAAAGGAGACATCCCTAATTAGTAGACTCTTAATACATGCTTGTTAGGGGGCAGTGGGTCTATTCTTTCTTCCTTCCCCTGTCACCGTGGGGCCCAGGAACCCACACGGGAAGTCACTTTTTATGACATGCTTGTTGGGGGAAAAGTGAGTACTACAGTACCTACACATGGACAGCAAATGTTACATGTTCGTTTTATGTAATGAGGACTTTACTGATAGTTTCTTGTTAATTATGAAGCTTAACAAATATCCAGAACACAGCGTGAAGTAGAGAGAAGGCAGCGAATGATTGATGCTCTAGTGACTAAAGAGAAACAGATAGAACAAGCTTCTAGAAACGAAGGACAGTCAAGGTTAGTGTTTCTGACACATGCTTTTACATGTTAGTGTTGAAATTTTGAACTAAGAGTAAATGTCATAGCACTTGGGACACTCCCATAAGCGCTCCGTCCCCATCTTCAGCAGCAAGCGAAGAGTTCCAATTCCATTAGTGCCAGTAAATGTCTGTATATCCTGCACGTATATAATAGCTTTTTTTGTTTTATCTATTTCAGTATTTGTGTAATTAAACAGTACAAGTAATTTATATGCCTATGGGAGCATTGTGAACAAACAGTTGAAATTATTATTTAGATATCACACAATTTTAACATGGGGTTAAAAAAATTATAAACTAAGAAAGAAAAAAAAATTAAATCAAAAAAGAAATTAAGGTAGATATTGTGGAAAAGTATGAGAAAGGAGTCAGGGAAACTTATTTGTGCAAGCAGTTTCACTTGTCCAGGTTCACCAGAGCTACAATACTGAAAAAAAAAAGCCCCAGATTTTTTAAAGGAACTGGATGTAGCCAAAGAAGTATCAGTCATTTCATCTCAAAAAATAAAGTTACAGAGAGATGGAAACTTTGCTACTCATCTGGATTAATGCCATTCAGCTGAAAACAGTGTATCTCAGAATTTGATCTGTTTAAAAGCTCATGCTGTTTACAAATATCAGTCACAAAGCTGTGTATTACCAGTAGCAAAGACATCGGTGAAGAATTAAAAGCTACTAAAAGATGGTTTGAGAAATTCAAAAACAGAACTGGTATCCGTACTGCTGTCTGACATAAGAAGGTGCTAGTTCTGACAAAAAAAGTCAATGACAGTTTGTGAAGAAATGTCAGAAACTGATGGAGTCAGAGGGTTACAGACCAGAACAAGTTTTCAGCTGCAATAATTTTTAATCTGAGAATGGATTAATTGATTTCCTATAAGATGTAATGGGTGAAGCACATTCATAACGCTACCACTCTACTAGCAAATCATTAAAAAAAAAACGTTTGAGTGCCTGTATTCCGTTTAATGCTTTATGTCAGGGCTATTCAAACTGGCAGCCCATGGGCCGAATCTGGGCCGCTGGGGCCTAGCAGGTTTCCTACGGATCATCACCAGTTGTATTGAATTAATGATCTTTCGGTGCCGGGGCTGAGGCCTCTGGACTGTAATGATCCCCACTTTCAAAAGTTTGGCCCCTGAGTAAACGTAGTTGAATAGCCCTACTTTAGGTTCACACGACACACCTTCACATAGCAGCTGGCAGCCAACACACTTAAGTGCCATGACACACAGAGTGCTCTAAAAACTTTGTGTGTGTGTGTACTAATGGAAGCCTGATTGCATCTGGTGTGAATATGCTTTGCTGAATCATGATTTGGTTGCATCCTAATGTTTAGTTGTACATATGTATTTGATGTACATGTAGCAATCTTGCCCGTCTAGCTAGTTTCTTGGAAAGGGGAAGCAAGATGTTTTGTTGCCAGTTTTTTTAGAATAATCCAAACCCAACCTCACTGCAGGAGAGGCAGACCCCTTCTGAAGTCAGATGCTCTCTCTCTCTTCCCCCCTCTCTCTTTGTGGGGGTGTCTTGGGGGGGGGGGGGGTGAGAGGGGGCAACCTTGAACGTACATAATCTGTAGAGAACCAACAGGCAGCAAGTCATTTTTATGTTTTTGTGTGCATTTTTTCCCCCCTGTTTAGTGTTGGGTTAAACATAACTATGGCTTCTAAAATAGACCAACCCCAAACCATCTTAACTTCTGTTGACTCACTTTTTAACCAGGTATGGGGGGTGGGGGGGGGGCAGTACACATGGGGGGGGGCAGTACACAGTACCAGCACTTTTTTATTGGCATTTCCCAGGGAAAAAAGCCATGGTATTAACAGCATAAATAGAAAGCTAATTTTATGTTGCATGGATGTGCCAAATAAGGGGAGAAGTAGTAGACAGGGTATTGAACCTGAAACTCCTTGCGTGGATTCCAGGGCCCAGGTGGGGGGGGGGGGGGAGGGGGGGGTATACCCACTGCCCCCTAATAAGCGTGTGGTAAAAGGCAGCTAATTAGGAATTTGCTGAAATCAGATGTGTTGGATCAAAAGGCGTTGATATCATAGCCTGGCTGTAAACTACAACACAACGTGGCATCAGCTTTTAAATTCTGTCGCACAAAAAGACTAGTTCTAGTCCCCTTCGGCTGTAACTCAATTCCGTAAATGTCAATATATCAGTCTGTCTTCTGTGACTGTTCTTGAAAATATAGTTAAAATTCCATTGGTTTTTAAGTGTAGATAACTAAGTGAACAGATATATTAGTGACCTGTGTTAATGGGTTGTTTCTTTGTATAGGATTTTCTCCAGGAATTTATCTCTTATCTATTCATGACCAATTTTTTAAATATTTTTTTTAAAGCATTTTGGGCATAATAGTTAAGAGTGTGCGGAAGTAGAACAACAACCTGATATTACTGTGATGTTAAATCTAAACACTTTATTACAATGGCTTCATATAGTGTGGTTGTTTGAGAGTATCACACGTAAGGGTAGAAATACAGTTTTTAATGTAACAAGCCATAGAGACCTGATATAAAATTTTCAAACCAATCTACAAACATCTTTTGCAGTATCACTCCAGTTATCAGTTCTAGGTAAGATGTGAAATTTTAAATATTTCCCTCCCTCACCTACCTTGCTTTTGATTATTTCCCCCATTAGATATTTGCAGTTTCTTCTTTTTAGCATTCACCAGCTGTAAACTCCGGTGGAAATTCCTGGTTGTTCACCCACTTTTAGACCCTCATTTTGGGGAAGAAAAGAATAAACCTACTTACTGCCTTTTAACAAACAAAAAGCGGTCATAGAAACATGTGTATATGTGTGTGTGTGTGTGTATATATATATATATATATATATATATATATATATATATATATATATATATAATGCCGGTGGAAAGTCATGTTTGTCCATTTGGATTATGGCTTTGCATTAGGACCTGGATTTTGCATGTGTATCCGTTTTACTGGCCTATTTGTGTGCAGTTGTTGTGCCTCACCTCTGTGACATAGAAGAAAGTTAAAACTCTTGAAGCTTTATGTGCTCGGTCAGACGTAAACTGTGTGGTGTATTAGTAATAAATAGTACACGGTAGTAATAAATAGTAAAGTAATGCATTTTTATTTTGCAATGGAAAGTGTAAGCGGTAAAACCCTTCACTGCACGACACTCTGCCAGACATGTTGTAAGAGTGAAGGTAGGGTACCCACTTAAGTCTGTGTGCACACCCTGTCAGTCATGTTGTAAGAGTGAAGGTAGGGTACCCACTTAAGTCTGTGTGCACCACCCTACCACTCATGTCGTAAGAGTGAAGGCAGAGTACACACTTAAGTCTGTGTGCACAACCCTGTCAGTCATGTTGTAAGAGTGAAGGTTGGGTACCCACTTAAGTCTGTGTGCACCACCCTACCACTCATGTCGTAAGAGTGAAGGCAGAGTACACACTTAAGTCTGTGTGCACAACCCTGTCAGTCATGTCGTAAGAGTGAAGGTGGGGTACCCACTTGAGTCTGTGTGCACAACCCTGTCAGTCATGTTGTAAGAGTGAAGGTATGGTACCCACTTAAGTCTGTGTGCACCACCCTACCACTCATGTCGTAAGAGTGAAGGCAGAGTACACACTTAAGTCTGTGTGCACAACCCTGTCAGTCATGTTGTAAGAGTGAAGGTTGGGTACCCACTTAAGTCTGTGTGCACCACCCAGCCAGTCATGTCGTAAGAGTGAAGGTGGGGTACCCACTTGAGTCTGTGTGCACAACCCTGACAGTCATGTTGTAAGAGTCAAGGTAGGGTATCCACTTAAGTCTGTGTGCACAACCTTGTCAGTCATGTTGTAAGAGTGAAGGTAGGGTACCCACTTAAGTCCGTGTGCACAACCCTGTCAGTCATGTCATAAGAGTGAAGGTAGGGTACCCACTTAAGTCTGTGTGCACCAGCCAGTCATGTCGTAAGAGTGAAGGTGGGGTACCCACTTGAGTCTGTGTGCACAACTTGTCAGTCATGTAGTAAGAGTGAAGGTAGGGTACCCACTTAAGTCCGTGTGCACAACCCTGTCAGTTGTGTCATAAGAGTGAAGGTAGGGTACCCACTTAAGTCTGTGTGCACAACCCTGTCAGTCATGTCATAAGAGTGAAGGTGGGGTACCCACTTGAGTCTGTGGGCACCACCCAGCCAGTCATGTCGTAAGAGTGAAGGTAGGGTACCCACTTAAGTCCGTGTACACCATCCAGCCAGTCATGTCGTAAGAGTGAAGGTAGGGTACCCACTTAAGTCTGTGGGCACCACCCAGCCAGTCATGTCGTAAGAGTGAAGGTAGGGTACCCACTTTATGCTGTGCTCACCTCTTGCTTCTCTTGCCTCCGACCTTTCCCTGCAGTATAGTTTTTAAAAGTGTGTTTGCTTCCAAAGTATTTCATTCTTTTCTTCTTTTTTAAATTTCCTAGTTTTATTTAAAATTTTAGGTTAGTAGTTCAAAGACATATACTTCAACTAAATAATTCCATTAGAAGAAATATTAAAATAATAAAATAAAAGTTGATAATGTGATATGTGATAGTCAGATATCCTTAGTTTGCGAAGACCAAAAGCAAGAAGTTGTCTGTCTTGTTTTACACGCACAAAGAGGCGCCAGACAAGGCCCGTGGCACGTTACGTGTTGTAAGGGTCTCTGTGGTCAGACAGTTTCATTGGGACGACGATAGGGGACGCAACGATCTTCTTTCGGTCATGTATTTATAATATCAGTAGCTTCCCCTGATACGTTGGATGTAGTGCTTGACCTATGTTGGACTGAACACTGCAGTTGAAAGATTTGTGTTTTAATTCTAGACGTCTCATCGTTAAACATTAACAACATTGGAGAAAAAAAGTAAAAGACCTTTTCCCACGCCTTTCAGGCTTATTGGGTATATAGGGATAGACCTATATTTTATAGACCAAACGGCACTTGGTGGGTAATGTGGCTAGCATCACGCCGACAATCTTTATTTCCCAAGACTGCACCTAGTACCCAATCAAGACTGGGTCGACCAAGGTTATTTTTTGAAGAAAAAAAAATAGTTCAGCCCCCGTCAGGAACCGAACCCACGACCGATCCGCAGGCGAGCATCTAGCCGCTAGACCACGGTGGCTCCCCAAAAACACTGAAAGCATACTGGAATTTGAACCTGCGATCTTCAGATGCCAGCAGCATCTAACTTTAGAGCCGCGTTTAAGAAATATAGTGAGCCCAGAGCAGGGGAGGGGGGGGGGGGGGGGGGGAGACCGACACGATGTAACAGCATCACGAAAAAACAACCTCAAAGAAACTCACTTATAATGTGCATTAAAAAGAGCACACAGAAGATTGCCATTCCTCCCAACAAATCCCCGAGGTAACAAGTGAAAGAAGTAGTATAATAGCAGCAGCAACAGTAGTAGCAGTATTAGTAGAGGTGGTGGCAGTAGTAGTACTAGAAAAAAACAAAAACTAGACCTTACAACTTGATCGTAATTTGCAGCCTGAAAGTGTCCCCTACAGAAAAGTCCTGAAGGCAAAATCAATCTGGACAAGCGAGAAAGAGCTTGCTTTCTCATTACCTAAACGCGCAGATACTGTCATTGGATCCGTTCGGCGCTAAAACAACTGCAAAGACAGACACCACTGAGAATAGAACAGCACTTTGATGTCAACTGGACGACGAGTTCTCAGGCACTTTACCTTACCGTGACCTATTACTGGAGCCAAGGTTCTATGCGGCGTATCTTTTAAGTTTTCTGAGTCTCCGTCTTGCCGTTTGAGAATCTGACACCTTGGTTAATCTACACCTTCACTGTTTTAACTGCAGGTAATCGAATAGCAGACCGTTCAATCTAGTTCCTCTTTTGTGACTGTGTGAGTCTTATTAGCCGGGGCGTGAATTCCAAGCCCACCGTTATTATGTGCGCTGCCGAGCAGCGTTGACGATCATGCGTTTCTGCCCTGTAGGATCTCCAGCCTCCAACAGCAGGTATCATTTCCAGCTGGTGTTTCCATCAGATTCCCACGATAAGTGGCCCTAATTTCAGGATCTTTTTCTGTATGTTCACCAGCTGTAAACTCCGGCGAAAGTTGTGGCCGTTGGTGCACTTCTGGACTTTGATCTTATTCCCGAACTTTCGTGGTGTGTGTACATCCCCTTTATATATCTAGCTTATTTGATGCAGACTGTTGGTTACTCGCCGATGAAGCAGAAGGAGATACTCCTAAATAGTCGCTTCCTACAGTGGGTCCACACACCCCCTCCCCTCTTGAAATGTCAGGATCATTGTTGGGTTTCTCCTCAAATGCTCACCTCTCATGTCCGCACAATTTAAGATTGGCGAATCAGACCGGCCATGTGTACATGTGGATTGGCCCCCGAGACAACAGATCATGTCCTCCAAGACTGTTCCAGATACAACATTTCCAGACAAAACTTCTGGCCAGTAGAGGCCACAATTTACGGGTCGCTGAGTGAATTACAAAAGACAAGGAAGTTCATACTAGAGACAGCATTGCAGATATAAGTAATCTGTTTCGGGCAAACAGAAGAAGGAAATGCTCACCTCTTACGGTGATCATATCATTTCTCCTTTGTGCTGAAAAAAAAGTGCTGTGTCATCTCCTAAAAGAAGGTTGGCTACAGTGTACCCACTGCCGTTAATATAACATGCTGACACCCCAATCTGTTCCACTGTGTAATTCTCATACTGCGATCCGAAAACTACGAGAACGGTTTAATCGAACACTAGTGCTCAAGGTTCATAAAATGATGATGATAACTTTCGACCCACCAGGACATCACACCGTGCGATAAACAACCGGTGACACGAATTGCCACCATTCGGATTAGGGTCACCTGGGGATAGGTCCCAGAAACCCAGTTTAACCAGTAGGTTGGGTTATATTAGGGCTCCGGCAACCGCCAAGATGGGGCTTTAAAACGAAAACAAAATTGCGTACAGCATTGAGACCCAGTAGTATATAAATATCATGAAATGCCATAGCATCCTTTTCCTATGAATCCTTCTCATATGAATCCATCTACTAAAATGTAAAGCTGCGTTCACATGGGCGAAGGGCGTTCACAATTTTCTGCCAGCCTGACATCTGCTGCTGCTTCAAGTTTAGAAAATGATATTCTTAGCTGGAGCGTTGTTTCTGCCGACCAAAACCTGCCATTACATCATCATCATCATCATGTAGCCTTTGCAGAACGTCGCTCTCATCACAGTCTGCCTGAAAGAAACTCGGTCTTTCGCCAGTTCTCCCGCCTCATGTACTTTCATACTCAAGGAGTCACTTATATCCAATGCCCATCTTCCTGTCGGTCGGCCCCTGCCCCTCCTTTCTGGTACCATGCCTTCTACTATAATTTTTTCCAATCTGTCGTGGCGCTTGATATGACCAAAATATTGCAGCTTCCGAGACAGGATGCTGTTTATTAGCCAATCTTTCTTGATGTTCAGATCTTTCAAGATGTCAGTATTTCTCCTCTTCTTTGCCTAAGATATTCTGAGAATCTTTCTATAGCATTTCAGCTCAAAAGCTCCTATTCTCTTTCTCAAGAATTGAGAGATAGTCCACGACTCACATCCGTATGTAGCCACAGGGAAGATGCATGCTCTCAAAATTCTAATTTTGATCTCCTTACTGGTGCTTAACCATAGACTAATAAGGCTGTTCAATCTTTGCATTGTTATGGCCATCCTCCTTTTCATTTCTGTCAAACATTCTCCATTGCTGTTTATTATGGAGCCTAGATATTCAAAGTTTGTGACATTTTCAATTTCTTCATCATTTATTATTTTTGGGTGACAGCCAGTATTATTTGTGGACATTATTTTCATTTTTGCCATAACATACCTTCCATAATTATTAACATGGCTGAAAAAAAATATTTTTCACTAAGATAGGAACTCAATAGAAAAACAAACAAACAGGAGAAGGCAGACATTTTGGCGGACCACCAGGACACTTTCGCGGACCGGTTTATGGACCAGCGATTGAAGAACACTGATATGTGGCAAGAAGAATGAATGATTGAGCCAGTCTGCGGCTATGAAAGGCGGAAACAACTGTATCACGTTGAAGCGCTGCCTTCACATTGTAATCACAGCGCCCTCTGTAGTTAGCGGCAGAGATTAGACTGTAATGGCTGGCAGCCAAAGGGGAGATTAGCAGCTGTAAGAGGTTGTAGGCGATTTCCAAGGCCATAGACTTCATCGTTTCTGATTTGGCTGTCATGGAGAGAGAGAGTGAGAGAGAGAGGAGGTGCAGGGGGAAGGGGAGACAGAGATGAGGGGCAGTGAGAGAGAGAGAGAGGGGAAAGGGAGGAGACAGTATAGTTTGGGATATAAAGTGTAGTTATTAATCTCAGTGGTCTTACAAAAGTTTCTGCAGTTGGGGTATAGAGTGTTGTTATAATTAATTGCTGTAGTCTTACAGCAGTTTCTGCAGTTGGGGTATAGAGTGTTGTTATAATTAATTGCTGTAGTCTTACAGCAGTTTCTGCAGTTGGGATATAAAGTGTTGTTATCATTAATTGCTGTGGTCTTACTGCAGTTTTGTGCAGTTGGGGTATAAAATGTTGTTATCATTAATTGCTGTGGTCTTACAACAGTTTTTGCAGTTTGGGTGTTATTCATCACCAATTTGCATGGTTCGCCTATCAGTTTCTAAAGGTTTCACCGATTCTTGTAAAAATCGGATAACAACTCCATTCCTTTTTGGTACATATCAAAAGTAGGGTGGTCATCCTTAAACTGTCATTATGATTTCACCGCGTTCGTCTGCACCATGGTATCACGTGCTTAACAATCTTTACGCCTTTAACAATAATAACAGGCGAAAGACCGGCATGGCGTTGTAATTTATATCACACTTGCACGCATATGAGTTTCGCTCTCATGTGGTAGTCTCCAGCATTAGCCTCCTGTGAGTTACAATTTGTAATTGTATGCGGGATATGCTATCAAAATAATCACCACGCATTACTACACACGTGAATTGATTTTCAAACAGTCTGCACGCATGTGTCAGTTGCTGTATATCCTATTGCTACGAAAATCGCCGCATTAAGAAAACAGCAAAAAGTTTTCATTTGTAAATTATAAAATCATAGGGATATGGGAAATTTAAGGCTGCGTACAAAAAATGTTGATCTGTACATGTTTTAGAGATATTTGTTAAAGAGTGAGGTCACGACATTTGAAACGCACTGTAACTTTAATTACGCGCTGAAATGCATTGAAGGGTGTGCTGTTTACAGTTGCGATTAACTTTTGTATCTGCCTTATTCCAGGAGTCTTCTGTTGTCTCCGGGAACCGAAACCTACAGCACGGGAGATCCTTGGGGCATGAATGAGGAGCCGGAAGCTTTACGGGATCTCAACAACCAGGACTTGCACCAGCACCAACAGGTTGTCATCCAAGGTTAGCCGGGTTTAATCCAGTCTTGTTCTTAGTTGTATGCTATTGTTATTGTTCTTCTCCTTCTTTTTCTTCTCCTCGTCCTTCTCATCCTCCTTCGTTTCTTCTTCTTCTTCGCTCGCCATTAAATGGCGTTTAGCATGCTATGCTGTGGTTTACAGCTAGATTGTGATATTTGCGCCTTTCTGCCCAACACATTCGATTTCTGCAGACCCCTAATTAGTCGCCAGTTACGACGATCTTGTTACGGGACAGTGGGTCTGCCCACTAACAACTACGAAGTAGAAGAAGAAGTATGTAATGCAAGCAGGGAATCTAACAATTTTTGTTTGAATCCGCAATTCCATGTTTTTTTCTGTTTTAACTCCAGCTGCCATAACGTCCAACTTTCACAACCTAAATTCAAGCAGCATATGATATTTAATTTGTCGAATAGTTAATGAAATCAGCTGTTGATTAGCTATTTAATCTTGACATTGATAGAAATGGGATACGGAGTGACTGTTGAAGTTTTTTTTTGTCAAGACTCCTGAATTTCTTTCTCCGTTTCTGTCACTATACAGTGTTAGGATTTTTCCGGAGGACGGCGATGAAGGGTACTGGCTACTTCAGTTTGTCAGTCGCTTCCTGAGTTTGTGAAATCTCAGTACTTCACAACCCAAAAAAAGCAGCTTTTTTTTTTTTTTTTAGATCACCTGCCATCACACATTTGACTTAAAAAAATCTTCTTGTCATTTGTTCCGAAATGTCAAATAAAGAACTGCGTGCTCTCTGTAGCTCTTTTTTTTTCCGACGTCTAATCGTCTTTAATGGCCACTTACATGTTTCTTGAGAGTGCAGTTATTGATCGTGTCTATATTTGTGCGTGTGTGTATCGATTTAGCAAACCGAGAGTTTGCTCAGATGTCGCGAGTGTCAGAGTTATTTATCTGACAGGTGTTTCTTTACTTCACGGAAGTGATATTCATTCAAACATAGCAGCTGTAAAAGATGTCTTGTATCTTCACTTTTGGGATATCTTGGCAAATAGCATTTTCATTGTCTCCTTTCCCGTCTTCAGCCTGGAGGTGAATTTTCACGACTCATTCCATCTTTCTACCTATCGACGGGCCTTTCGCTCGGTCATTCTACCTTATTGTCTCTACCCCTTCCCCACCATACTCTATTTCACGTGTTAACGGCGTTGTCGAGTTTATGAGGAGTGTTTAAACAAGTGGCGTGAACTGCGGGAAGGAACTGGCTCTGAAAACCCTTATCGGTCCCATAATTGGGAAGTTAGAAACGTCATTTACCGCCTATCTGTGTAGGGACGTGGAAACAGAAAAACCTCTCCCTTAATATCCAGACAGTGTCCACAGACCCGGATCTGGCACAGGGCAGCGCTTTTATTTAACGAGTATCCCGACTGCCGAGTTATTAACTATCGGACGCTCACCACTCGTGGTCTCATTTCCTTACGGAAGGACTCTCAGGCTGGAGGGCAGCTGCCACGGGATATTTCCAAGCCGAGAAGTGTATTCCCATACACCCGCTGCCGTCTGTAACCACCTTCATGGCTTTGTCCGTGTTCCTCGGCTAATAATTCTCCCTTCCCGTGGAGAGCTCGATTCCTGAATGTTTACGCCACTTCGTCTTACCCCCAAAGGCAGTGTTGAGATGGCCCCAGTATTTCCAGCTGAAATTGTCGGTTTAAATTGCCCGGACAGGGGGAGATAAGCGGCCGTGGAGTGACAGTATTAGGTGCTTACTGCGCCCGCTTTGTACGGACAATCACGAGGTCCGAGTCCTGTAGAGTGGTGTGTCTTTTTGTCTTCGTTATCATTGTTTCCCTTATTTGATGTCAGTGTACAGACCGACTTGAAATCCTGCCTTCGCACATTCATTAAAATGATGTTAAGCAGACAGTGAGTTGACGGTATGAAGTGCTGACATTTCGGACTTTTGGATTTCAAAGTCTTCTACACTAGCGTGGGTTTCAGTGCCCCATTTTGAGGATTAAATTTAGAATACACCCACTGCCACCGTAACAGTAACAAGCATGTCGTAAAAGTTAGCTTTGTTTCCTGCGAATTTCGCATGCTTCTGCCTAAGCGGTGAGGAACTAGCAGCCTGCATACACATAAGCTAGATCTGTAAAACAGATGTGCGTGCAAAACTCAGGTTCTGGAACAAGACTGAAGTCCAGAAGTTGACAAACAACCAGAACTTTCTGTTGGAGCTTAGAACCATGAAGTCGAAGAAGAACAAGAAGCTCATGGCTTGACCCAACCTAAAATGGGTAAAGTCCTTGGAAGTAAAGGCGGTTGATGAATGTTGACCGCATAACCCCTCGAGGGCTGATTGGTCTATACAATTATAAGTCTTGCATCATATGCTTGATGTGTGAATAGCGTGGAAAAAGGTTTTTACTTTCTCAAACCATGTGCCTGATGCACTGTAGAATCTCAGCATTAAAAGTCTGTGGTTTAACTCTTTGAGTCCCAGGGGGTTTTGCACCAGGGGCCCAAGGGGGGTAATATGATTTTGACTTTTACAAATGCAGCACTTTAAAACAAACCTCACAACTGCAGCTGATGTCCAACATACACATATCATACATAAAATTAAACATAAATGGATAAGGATTAATATTAGCATACTGCTACAACAAACAATTATACTGTTAGTTAGTTTTTAGTAGAGAAAACAGTGACTTAGTTTGAGAGGTGAGTAAATTATGAACAAGTTTTTTCCACTTACCCAGAAGCTGATCCCAAAATTCTTGATATAGTATATCCAAAATACATCACAAAGGAAGGTACACCACTTATAAGTATGCACAGCCAATATTACAGCAAAATGTGCAATAGTTTTTGTTCCATAGCGATTTTAATAACACTACCATAACACATCAAAATATATTCTTCAGTGGCACAAACAGTGACTTTTCTAAAAACAATTGAATTCCTCACATAGAAAAAACTGTAAAGGCACTGTAAACATGTCAATCTGTTCATAGATATATATCTATGGTTTTAGATGATATGGATAGAAGTACTAGAAGCGCTGACATTTGGACTAGCTGGTGTCGCGTTACGAGGTGCTTCTCTTGTGTTGCCAAGGCAGAATTAGTCAGTTTTGTCCTCTTAGCAAGAGGTAAATTACGCACACATCCTCATCAAAACTTGACTCGTCAACGGTTTGGGGAAATTTCACGTCGCTACTTTCATTATCCAACTCCACATTACTTTAACTGATCCACTGTTTTATCAATTTGATGATTCTAAAGCAGTAAATCGCTTTGATGGGCGTGAAGACGATGACTGATCGGACATATTGTTTTCAGACAATTGTTTTGGTAATGTAGTAGACCACACAAATATCGATTTAAAACCGTTAAAACTCACCAGAACCCAAACGAATGCACTCCACGTGTGTACACTACACACTTGAGAACCGGAAAGGAAGTTTAAATTGAGCGGTTCACGTGTAATTACCGATAAGTGGTAAATTAAAAACCGTCACATGTCATGCGCTGTTTGAGCCGCCAAGTAGTAAAAAATGAGCGCGTGATGCGTTCCTTGGGACTCAAAGAGTTAAGCATCAGCATCCCTGTGTGGGTTCCAGGCCCCATTGTGGGGGAAAACAAGAAAAGACCCACTGCCTACCCAAAAGCATGTCGTAATAGTCGACTAATTAGGAGCTTCCTTCGAAGTGGGAATGCATCTGCCTAAGAGGCAAGGAACCAGCAGTCTGCATACAAATGAGTCAGATCTGTTAAACAGATGTACACGCAACACTCAGGTTCTGGAACAGGACTGCAGTCCAGAAGTGGATGAACAACCAGAACTTTCTGCCAGAGTTTACAGCCGGTGAAAGCGAAGAAGAAGAAAAAGAAGAAGCATGAGCAAGCAATTCAAAATTAAAATGTTGAAAGCATGCATCTTCCTTGTAGCAACAAACGGATGTAGGTCGTGGACCATCTCCCAGTCCTTAAGAAAGAAAAAATAGGCTTTTGAGCTGAAATGCTATAGATAGATTCTTAGAATACCATGGACAAAGAAGAGATGAAATACTGACATTTTAAAAGATCTGAACATCGAGGAAGATTGGTTAATAAACAAAATTTTTTATTGAAGCTTAAATATTTTGTTGATATCAAGCGCCATGACGGATAGGTAAAAAAATTGTAGCAGAAAGCATTGTGCCAGGAAGGATGGGCAGGGGTTGACCCACATGAAGATGAGAACAAGATATAAGTGACTGCTTGAATATGAAAGCATATGAGGCGGGAGAGCTGGTGAGAGACCAAGTGTTTTTTAGACACAAAGGACCTGCTACATGATGATAATGATGACTAGTGAAACCTGTTTTCCCCCTTTCTTCCTCATATTCACTGGCTGAAAACTCTAGCAGGCTTAATTACGTGCAGACTGTTGGTTCCTCGCCCCACAGGCAGATGTATTCAGACTTTGAAGGTAACAGCCCTAATTAGTCACCATCTATGACGCATGTTAAGGGACAGTTGGTCTATTCTCTTTTCCTTCAAAATGGGACTGCAGGTAGGAATGCTTTCAAAGCTATGCAAATTGAAATAACGAGGACATAAAAACACCATATTGATCAATTTTATTGCTCTGAATATTTTGCTATGTCACATTGGGTGCATTAATACAGAGTATTATACAAATGTAGACTTAATTTCATTGTATAAGACGCAGCCTAATTTTAAGGTCTACTCTGAGAACAAAAAAAGTGCATCTAATATATCGACAGATTCAATACTTCCATGGAAATAAAGTCTTAGTGACTGTATTGTCATTTTTAGAATAAATTCAAGGAATTGTTTGAAGTTTGAACAACAGATCAACATCATAGCACACGGTTAGTAACCCATAAGTGCTCTGTTCTTCTTCTAATTCTAGTCTGAGTCAGAAGAAGCTCAGCACAGTGCACAGGCTCTGTAGCACCGGCGAGGAATCCTGAAATACTTTGGGTAAATTGTAAACTCCAAATTTTGCTTAATTTCCAGCTGCCAAGTGATTTTTTACGTGCGCGACAACGCACACGGGCATCTGATATCACTACCCAGAGACCAGGGAGGATTACTAGAAGTCCAGGTCCACGTGAAAAAATCACCGCTCTTACCGGGTATTGAACCCAGAACCTCTAGCACTCAGGGTGAACACCATGCCTCGAGACCATGCAACCCCCTTGGAATTGTTTAATTCTATTTCTTATATTAATATGGGAATGCAAAAGTGCTGAACCAGGACCAGGGCTGATGGCTGAACAGGATCTTTTGACACCTCTCCATGATCATTCTAGAAACAGATTCCTAGCCTCTTGCAACATGCTGGTTACGGATAGTGGGTTGCTTCTTTTCCCCCAAAATAGGTCCTTGGAACCAACACTGGGACATATGGAGATAACGGAAAGAAGAAGAAGAAGAAAAGGAAATCAATAAATCTTTTCAATTGAAATGCTTAAATCCAACAGCTTTAACATCTGTAACTTTCTATTTTACCAGGGTAAATGCAAGTTAAAAACCATGTCATTAGTCTGGTACTGTAGTGTGTGCTTGATGAGATACATCAAAATATATTAGGTAGAAAATTGTGCAGTCTGTTGCTTGTATCTTCTTTGTTCAGATTTACAGTAGGGAAATGTTGCTTTAATATTCAGATGATTGTTAAATGTATAATGGATCATTGTATTCAGAGCAAGACCGAGGACTGGAAGCTCTGTCCCATGTTGTCGGTCGACAGAAGCAGATGGCAATTGACATTGGGAATGAAGTAGACAGTCAGGATGGTAAGGTTTTTTCCAAATGCTTTTTCTGTCTCCAGTGTTTGTTAACTGTGAGCTTCTTTCCCCTAGTGCTTTTTCTGTCTCCAGTGTTTGTTAACTGTGAGCTTCTTTCCCCAAGTGCTTTTTCTGTCTCCAGTGTTTGTTAACTGTGAGCTTCTTTCCCCAACTACTTTTTCTGTCTCCAGTGTTTGTTAACTGTGTACTTCTTTCCCCAAGTGCTTTTTCTGTCTCCAGTGTTTGTTAACTGTGTACTTCTTTCCCCAAGTGCTTTTTCTGTCTTCAGTGTTTGTTAACTGTGTGCTACTTTCCTCAAGTGCTTTTTCTGTCTCCAGTGTTTGTTAACTGTGTGCTACTTTCCCCAAGTGCTTTTTCTGTCTCTAGTGTTTGTTAACTGTGTGCTGCTTTCCTAGAATCACAGGAGTCAGTTGCTTACATTGTTTCTGAAAGTTTTGATACATCGGCGTGTTTATTCAGTTCACAGACCTGTAGAATCACAAGATTGTTCAAGGAAACTAATCAGTTCACAAACCTATAGAATCATAAGGTTGTTCAAGGAAACTAATCAGTTCACAGACAGACCTATAGAATCATAAGTTTGTTCAAGGAAACTAATCAGTTCACAGACAGACCTATAGAATCATAAGGTTGTTCAATGAAACTAATCAGTTCACTGACCTATAGAATCATAAGGTTGTTCAAGGAAACTAATCAGTTCACAGACAGACCTATAGAATCATAAGGTTGTTCAATGAAACTAATCAGTTCACTGACCTATAGAATCATAAGGTTGTTCATGGAAACTAATAAGTTCACTGACCTATAGAATCATAAAGTTTTTCAAGGAAACTAATCAGTTCACAGACCTATAGAATCATAAGGTTGTTCATGGAAACTAATCAGTTCACAGACCTATAGAATCATAAGATTGTTCAAGGAAACTAATCAGTTCACTGACCTATAGAATCATAAGGTTGTTCAAGGAAACTAATCAGTTCACTGACCTATAGAATCATAAGGTTGTTCAAGGAAACTAATCAGTTCACTGACCTATAGAATCATAAAGTTGTTCAAGGAAACTAATCAGTTCACTGACCTATAGAATCATAAGGTTGTTCAAGGAAACTAATCAGTTCACTGACCTATAGAATCATAAAGTTGTTCAAGGAAACTAATCAGTTCACTGACCTATAGAATCATAAGGTTGTTCAAGGAAACTAATCAGTTCACAGACCTATAGAATCATAAGGTTGTTCAAGGAAACTAATCAGTTCACTGACCTATAGAATCATAAGGTTGTTCAAGGAAACTAATCAGTTCACTGACCTATAGATTCATAAGGTTGTTCAAGGAAACTAATCAGTTCACTGACCTATAGAATCATAAGGTTGTTCATGGAAACTAATAAGTTCACTGACCTATAGAATCATAAAGTTTTTCAAGGAAACTAATCAGTTCACAGACCTATAGAATCATAAGGTTGTTCATGGAAACTAATCAGTTCACAGACCTATAGAATCATAAGATTGTTCAAGGAAACTAATCAGTTCACTGACCTATAGAATCATAAGGTTGTTCAAGGAAACTAATCAGTTCACTGACCTATAGAATCATAAGGTTGTTCAAGGAAACTAATCAGTTCACTGACCTATAGAATCATAAGGTTGTTCAAGGAAACTAATCAGTTCACTGACCTATAGAATCATAAAGTTGTTCAAGGAAACTAATCAGTTCACTGACCTATAGAATCATAAGGTTGTTCAAGGAAACTAATCAGTTCACAGACCTATAGAATCATAAGGTTGTTCAAGGAAACTAATCAGTTCACTGACCTATAGAATCATAAGGTTGTTCAAGGAAACTAATCAGTTCACAGACCTATAGAATCATAAGGTTGTTCAAGGAAACTAATCAGTTTACTGACCTATAGAATCATAAGGTTGTTTAAGGAAACTAATCAGTTCACAGACCTATAGAATCATAAAGTTGTTCAAGGAAACTAATCAGTTCACAGACCTATAGAATCATAAGGTTGTTCAAGGAAACTAATCTGTTCACAGACCTATAGAATCATAAGGTTGTTCGAGGAAACTAATCAGTTCACTGACCTATAGAATCATAAAGTTGTTCAAGGAAACTAATCAGTTCAGATGTGCTTTTGTAATAATCCATCTGCACCTGCTGGTTTGTAATAACCACTGCTTCCATAAGCTGTGAATGTCAGTTCTAGTCACTGACAAAATAGATGCACTTGACCTTTGCATGCACATCCATTTTACAGATTTGGCTTGTATGTAAGCAGGCTGTTGGTTCCTCGCCTTTCAGGCAGATGCCCTCCAACTTTAAAGGAAACCCGAAATTAGTTGCCTTTTATGTCATGCTTGTTAGGGGGCAAAAATATAAAATTTTGTGTTTTTCATAAACTTATGGGACTTCATGAAATAAATGGCTTGGAAATTCATGAGATTTGGAAAATTATGATTAAAGTAGTTATTTATCAAGGCTCTGGGTGCCATTTTTACTTCTCATGCTATAAAAGGTAACTTATTAAGGATTTGCTGAAATCAGATATTTTGGGCTAAAAGGGACATATATCACAGCCTAGCTGTAAACCACATCACAGCATGCCAGTCACCCTTTTCAGGGTGAACCAGAAGAAGAAGATTTGGCAAGACACTTGATGGTGATGGAGATGCTTAAACAAGCTGTGGAATTAGTTTTGTGGTACTGCTGCACGTGATAGCATAAAGCTGTATGTCCCTGGCATTATAAATGTTTTGATTTCATCACAGTGCTCATAGATGACCTTAACGATCAAGTTCATCGAACAGACGGGCGTATTCAGCGGGAGACCAGGCATATAAAGATAATTGATCGCAAGTCTGGGGCTTGTTGTAAGTACCAACTATTAGTATTCTTCTCCCAGACAGATTCATTGTAATTGTCATGACTCCGTTTCAATAAGGGTCACACCATAGGGCCAAGCAGGTCTAATACATGTAATGTGATGGGTCAAAGTACTATGCTAATGAGCTAAAAGAAAGAAACAGCTGACATCATTTGTAGAATAAACCATCCAGGTACTAAGAAAGGGGCAGAATGTAATCAGGAAGACAGTGCAATATCATATTTCGAGGAAGGAAAAAGGACCTATCCAGTACATCAGAAAGGAATACTGGCCCATTGAGTCAACACCATGCTGAGAGTAATATGGAACTAAAAGAGAATTCCTAAAAACCCATCTGTCGGTGTCAGTCAGAGACCAGTCTCAAGAAGGAGTAGAAGCATGGTGGGTAATGAACAGGCAGACAGATTGGCTGAATCTGCACCACTGGATGGTGAATTGATACATGACTAGGCAGATGTGGTCAAGGCCTTTTGGGAGCAAGCAATGAAATCAGTAGAGATAGAAGATTGTTATGGCCTGGAGAGAATGAGGCCAGATACACTCAGAGGAAAGGCAAGACGGACATATAACCAGATTGTCACGGGTACCATCAGTATTGGAACTCTGCGCTGGCTGCTGAAGATGAGGACGGAGCATGCATGGGAATGTCCTGAGTTCTGTGATGTCAGTTCTTGACTCAACTCAACTAACTCAAGCAGAAGTAGAAGAAAACTATCCAGAAAAGCAGACGGAATATCTTCACTTTGTCCCAAAAATATAAACATAGCCAACTGACACCAGCTAGTGATTAGAGTTCTATTAGTTATTACTTTTAGTTGATTGTGTCTTTATTGATGTTGGTGTAATCAAGATAACCTAACAAGAAAACATATTTTAATAGAATAACAACATTGCTCCTTTGTGATTATTTTATCTGTTATTCAGTTGTTAAAATAATTTTAAAGATTGTGAGACTGTTGTAGAAGTAGTACATTTTACCCCACTAGGAAGGACATCACACAAGCGATAAACACCGGATGACACAAAGTGCCACCATGTGGATGAGGATCACCTGTGGAGAGGTCCCGGAAACCGCTGTCGTGAAATGATAAGCCATTACGCATCAGTCTGTAAGACTGGTAACCTAACTTACCTGTAAATCTTCACAAAATTCAAACTTGGACTCGTCCGGAAAGATATAGTCCCTTATATCTATATATATAGGTCTTTATTGGACAACATTATTATGTCTACATTTTCTGGTTGCTTTAACTAACCTCAACTTTTAAATGTATATATCTTTGATATATTTAGAGGAGTTATTTGAGGTTTCTTAGAAACCGATGCACTCCTTGCCCATGTATACTAGGGACTTCTTTTTTTACCAACGCCTGAAGCGTCTAAGTGACGCCATTCTCTTTGCCAGCTTCCTAGCGTCCAGACGTGTCAATCTATGCCTGTATAATTTCACTTTTCAAGGCGATCTGGAATGTCTCAGTTGTTGCATATGCTTGGGTAAGTTAATTATAGTTTACGAGTACCTAAAATGATGTCTGTAAAGTAGCCACTGCTGTAGAGAGATCAGTATCGGCTGTGGGATCACACTTAGTTCGACCGTTCCTGATCGCTAGAGAAGCGGATTCGAACGTAGACCTTCCCCTGTACAGACTAAATAGCTTATGCCCTCAATAATCACCCATACTGGTAAACTTAATACCCTTACAAGTGTGTACTTTTTAAACTAACTATAGAAATTTGTGCATACAAAATGGGGACAGAATAGGTAACAGGACTTTGTCGGACCAGTGTATGGAGTGTGTTT